AAGGCCCCCACCCCTGCCCCCAGCACAGCCCCTGCCTGCGGGAGAGAGGGGGTCAGGGCAGGCGATGGCTGGAAACTTACAGCTCCACCAGCCTGTTCAGCCGGGAAAATGTCCCATCTTGGATCCACCTGAGTTTGTTTCTGCGCAGGATCCTGGAGGAGAAGGAAGGGGAGAGAGAGTGTGGGTACGGCACAGCCCCACACACCCTTCGGGAGCATCGTCCGACCTCCAGACTGGCTGCGAGGGGTGCTGGTGCTGCACGGGGCTCACCCACAGGGTGCACCCAGCCCTGCTGCGTCCCTCCCAAACGCACCGAGCCACAACCATCACCTCCAGCAATGCTCTGCCACTGTGAGGAAGGTCTAAGCCAGAGCCCAGCTCTCAGGTGCAAGGCTCCATCTCACACAAGCCCACAGCTCACAGATGAGCCCATCAGAAGCGTGGAAGATGAGCAGAGGTGGTTAAAGGGCTCAGAAGTAAAAACCCAGAATGGTGCACCAAGAAACACAAACGGTTTCAGAGGTCATATATCCTCCTCTGCAGCAGGAGCAGAGCCCTGCGGGATGGTACATGCTTGAAGGTGCTGGGACACCCTGTGACTGCCATGGCCCGGGGACGGTGGTCCTTGGCAGAGGTTCACATCATGCAGCCGGGCTCTGCCGAGCTCAGACCCTGACCAGGGCAGCCCGCTCTAGCATGGCTCATGGTGTGGCTGGACGGGATGGGGGAGATGGGGGAGTCCGGCCAGGATGGCTCATCCCACAGAGCCTGAACACGAGCTCCTGTCTCATCTGCTGCCTCTGCTCGCAGCCTCTGTCTCCTGCGCTGGTGCCACCAGCGGGGCGTGTTTACGCCGTCCGTCTTGCCCGTACGGATGTTTCCATGGCACTGCCATAACAGCCCCGGGAAACACGCTGCTGATCAAAGCCAACTGGCTTGGCTGTGGGAGGAAGGGTGGATGGCAGGGCGGCTCACCCACCCGGCACAGGAGTCTGCGGGCAGCTCTCGCTGGAGGAAAAAAATGTAGTGGTGTACATTTTGGTGATTTAATGCCTGTTGGGGCTTCTCCAAGAAAGGCAGGAGGGGGGCCAGCATCTTTATGCAGCAACCTTTGGCTGGAAAGTCACAGCAGAGCTTTCCAAAGCGCTCATCCTCAGCGACATCATTGTGTGGGGGCAGTCGTCAGAGGAGGACCAAGATCGGTCCTCAGGGACTGCCAGGTAAACTGCAAAGGGGATCTTCACCCCATCTGCATCTCCACCTCTCCATGGGCCAGCCTGGGACAGCTGCTCTTCACTGCCCGGCCAGGGACCACGAGGTGGGCACGGGGTGCGACACTGCCCTGCCGGAGCGGCCTTTCAAATGCGCTGCTCGGCATCTCTATTACCTGCTGGGACCTCCGTTGGGAGCTGCAGGGAGTTGAAGAGCATTTTGCAGAACTCCATGCGAGAGGAGGGAGCTGCTGTGAGACTGGAGCACTCAATGCCTCCACTCTGCTGCTACCTGCTGCGTAGCCTGCTCCTGCATGGGGCTGCTGCCGCATTCGGGGCAGAGGCATACTCTGCTGTGCCTTGCAGGAAAATGAAGTCTGGGGAAGGAGAGGGGAGAGCAGCTCCTGCTGGAGATGATCCCACCCCAGCCCCATATCAGCTACTGTCCAGAAAAGCCCTGGATTTATTTGCTTACTCCGATCCGGCAGCACTGGCACAGGGTCCTGCAATGCATGCCCAGTGCTCCCGGTAACCATGATTGCCAATCCTCTAGGAGGGTGGTTTGGCTCCCCTTCCCACTTCTGCTCTCCTGCTACCACCCTGTGGCCACTGGTAGCTTTGTGCTCGTAGGTAACATCTGCACAGTGCACAACTCTCCTGTCCTTATCTCCTTGGGCTCCTGGGGCCGTATATATCTCTTTGGGAGATATATGACCGTCATGTGCAGGAAAACTAGATTTGGACGCCAGTGGAAGGGTCTGGGCTGGCTGCAAGCTCTGGTATCCACACCCCATAGGAAGCTTTCTCCATGCCGTGTCCTGCCACTATCTCCCAGCTGAAGAAGGTCCCCATTTGATTTGATCAGCCCCCACGGGCTGGTGACAGGGTGCTGGGACAAGCCCACCAGCTCCCTAACCCAGGGTTAGCCATCCTCCAGCACAGAGCCCCTGGAAAAGGCTCTAGGGCCCTGATCAAGTCCCTACAAAATTAATGAAGTTGACTGCACTGCTGATGCACTGTATACAAATGTGGGCTGAAACCATTAAATGCAAGACAGCAGCCCCTTATCTAGCTGAGATCAGTGGGAAACAGGGGGCCCAGCCAAGTGCTGGCTATCCCCGCCTCCTCCCTCCATGCACCCACAAAGAGACAGGGTCTCCACCAGCAAGTGGGGGCCACGGCTGGGCCCCCGAGGTACTCACAGCACCGTGAAGTGGTGGCACTCCTGGAAGACAGCCCTGTGCACCGCCCGGATCCTGTTCCCTTCCAGCTCCCTGCAGAAAGGCAATTGTGGCTGCTGCTTCCCCGGGCTCTCCCCGCCCCATACCCGCCGTGCTTGGGGGCTGCCCAGCACGATCTGCTCCTTCTCCACCAGCTGCCTTAGCTCCTGCTTGCCCCACCTCACCCCCATCCCCTGTGGGATGCTCCCAGCCCTTTCCACCCCTTCTCTGCTCCAGGAGCCTGGCTGGGGAGCGGGAGCAGCCCCTGCCCACCCCGCAGGCAGCCCGGCCTCGCTGCCGGCAGGCAGGGTACTCACAGCCAGCTGAGCTTCGGCATTTCTGTGCAGAGGGAGGCGTTGGGTATTTGAGTCAAAGAGTTGTTCAGCATGTACCTGGCCGGGAGGCAATAAGGACAAACGGGGTCACAGCACCATACGTCTGCCCGGGAACACAACCCTTTGCACGGATATGGTCCTGCTGCTGCTCCTGGACCATGCAGTGTGTCGTGAGGGCTTTCTGCTGGTCCACGGCCTCACCTGGGGGGACTGCGTGGGCTGCTCGCACAGATACCCAGGGACGAGCTCAGGGCTGGTGGTGCCTCCAGCAGCCAGCCCAGAGCAGCATGGCTGCGGCTGCACCGGCTTCCACATACCCCGGCAGAGCAGCCACAGCCACGCAAAACCACAGAGCAAGTTCAGCTGCCGCCGCCCCGGGCAAAGGCCTGGCACACGCAGCTGTTAATGGCAGTGCCCAGCTTCATTCACCTTCTTTGGGAAAGATGTAAAGGTGACGATACAGGGCACGTTTAGTGGATGCGGGAGATGCTCTCCAGTGAGCTGTGATGGGCACGTCACCAGGAGAGCAGTGCATGAAAGCAGCAGCAAATGACCCCAGAGTGACAGCGAGTAAAGGCAAATTTATAGCCTGAACTCCTGCTGGTGTTTTTCCCAGCACTTTTGCACATGCCTATGTGCACACTGTTCCTCACTGCACATTCTGTGACTGCAGTTTTAGTTTATTTGATTTTCTAACAAAAATGCAGAAGGATAAGCAGAGTACGTCACCAAGCAGAGCGGCGCTACTGCCTGCAATGTGGGAACGCATGGCTGAGGGGAGCTCCGTCCCCCCAGGGCTGTCCCCCACAGCCCACACAGCTCCTCCTCCTGGGACACAGCGGGGACAGGTCTCTGGACGCCAAGTGCTACCCAGGTTTTGCAGAGGAGCAAAATCCCGGAGTCACAGCCCCTCTTCCCCAAGCGTGCTGCCAGCCCCAGCTGCCCTCAGTCCTCCCCGTGCTGATGGCTCCCCCCGTCCTCAGGTACAGCCGTTACCCGAGTCCTGCACACCCCCAAAACCAGCTTTCAGGCTTTTACAGCAAACTCCAGTGGTTACATCTCCAGCAGAGATGGTGTGAGCCCGGATCAGCAGCCGTGGCTGAAGCACTCTCCTTGCAGGTGTACGCCCAGGGAACACAGCTTAAAACATGGTCAGATGTACGTGAATACGTATGTGCGCCTGCGCACTCACACACACACACGTGTTTTTTCCACTGTAGCAGCCAAAACTTCTCCCCTAACGCTGACTTCAGGCTGCTGCCAGGGTTTCCGATCTGTATTCTGGACTATGGAGAAGGTGTTAAAGTCATCTTACAGCGATTGCAAAATTGTTTTTATGGTGGTTAAAGCAAATTTGTTATCCTGTACGTCCATCTTGGAAATGGTTGGACCTTAAAAACCCCCTGGCTCGAGATGACCTGGTCTGAAAACACCCAGCAGAGGGGCAGTAGTTTGGGAAAGCATCGGATCCTGTTTGCAGTCGCTGACTCAAGGAAAACAATCAGCGACCCAAACCACAGGCACTGCTACCCATCCTGCTCATCAGTAAGTGCTGAGGCTCTGCTCAGGCCAGACTCCCCAGGGACACGTCTGTCCCTGTCCCAAGCAAAAGCAATAACCCTGATTTTAAGTAGAGTGTGCTGAGAGCAGGAGATGGCACAGAGAAGCAGCAGCACCAGCAAAGTGGTTCCCCCTGCCAAGTCAGGCATCCCCTGCAGCTCCTGGAAATGGGAGCGAGACAGACATCTCCCTTGTACTGTCGCCCCTCGTGCCCCAGGGAGGGCGAGGAAGCCACAGTGTCCTTGACTTGCCCCAAAAAAGGCTAGAAGCTGCCTGGAGAAGGGGTGCAGGAGGTACCAGACAGACACCCACAGGAGCAGGGTCCCCCCAAACCCCGCGGAGGGCTGCCCCCCCCACTACTTACAGGAAATACAGAGACTTCAGCTCTGCAAATGTTGCGGGGACGATCGTGGCAATCCTGTTGTTGTCCAGCATCCTGGAAGGAGAAGGGGAGAAGTGAGACGAGGGGACCCGGAGAGGGTGAGGAGGCAGTGGGACTCTCCTGGCAGGGGGAAGCCCCCACATTTAGCACCCATGCTGCCCTGGCTGGAGGGGGCTCTGTGCCTTCTCCCCTGCAAGCTTCCATGGACACCCGTCCCCAGGTAGGGGGCTGCCTCCCTCTGAAGCCCTTTCCCCCCCTTTCAATCCTGCCCTGGCAACCCTGGCTGAAGCGTTAGATCCAGCTGCAGGGTCTGGATTCCTTCACAGTCAGGGTCTGTTGGATTTTTCCTCTCTTCTGCTGTGAAGTAAAGATAAATTAGAAACCATTTGGGGAATTCAGGGCTGTGCTTGGCTTCTCAAAAGTCCTCTGGCTTATTTGTACCACAGACCACCCTCCGTGAGCTGCTCATCCTTCTGTTTTTCCCTTTTTGATTTAAGGAATAACTGCGCTGGTCCCACAGCAAGTAAGAGGAGGGTAGCCTGGGCGGGTGGCAGACCTGCCCGAGCTGCTTTTGCAAACGCAGAACAGGAATGAACCATCTTGTAAAGTGGCCTTTATGGTTTCTTATCTGTAGCAAAACCTTTATAAGCTCCGTGTGTAAAACCACACACCACATGGGCCCAGATCAAAGAGAGCCTTTGAGAATAAACAGACGGGAAGGATATTAGCTGTACTTTCAATTTAGGTGTGTATTTTTCAAGGTGATGGAGCTGCAAATCTCCGTGTTTAACAGTGTGCTTAAAGCCTTTTATACACAAGCCTCCAATGCTCCAGCCCAGGAGCTGAGGCTGTCTCTGCACGAAGCCCATCACCGTGCCCTGCCGCTGCTGCTCTGGACCATCAAGGGGAGCACAGCACAACGATGGGGACCAGCCGGCCATAACGAGATTTCGGACAAGACCACGTCCAGTCTGTGCTAAATCTGACCCCAGTAACAGGGGAGGGAAACTCAAACAGGAGTTTCATAAAAGAGCCGCAGCAGAGGCCAAGTGTGCCCTGGCCCCCAGGGCTGGTGGGGAAGGCGGGGAGGTGGAGACCCAGCCGGGCACGGCACCCATCGCCACCACGGCCCCCAGCATGGGCACGTTACCGCAGAGAGCCTGAAGCCATCATGCCCACTTCCCCGCTCCCCCAGGAAGTGAAATGACGGTAAATGCAAGAGCCGGGATCAGTCACATATTCTGATGCTGTTGGGACTGGCAGAGGAACTCACAGCCACTCGAGGTGATGCAGGTCCTCAAAAACCCGGGGCTTCAGCTGCGTGATCCTGTTGTGGCTGAGGAACCTGGAACCAGTGCAGAGGAGGAGAGCGAACCTCAGACACCGCTGCCGATTAAACCCCCTTTTGCTAAAGCTGTTCTTCCCGAGCTGCCCGTGGCCCCTGGCTTTTGGGTACCCGTGGCACCATCTCCCTTAGCAGCAGCTCAAACGCAGGATCCCAGCTCAGGCTGGATAATGTGGAGATGGGAACAGCCATGTTTGTAGGAGGGGAAATGCCTCTGCTCTGCTCCACTTTCACCCAAAATACACGCAACTCCAGCTTAAAGCATGCTCGATACTGGCTCTTGCAGGAGCAAGAAAAAGGGCTCAGAACCTGGCCTCGAGCCGGCTGTGCTGTGAGCCTTCATGCCAAGAGGAGCCGAGGACTGTGTCCGTCCCAGGGCTCCCCTCCCCAGGGCCCCGTAATGCAGACACCTTTACTCACAACATTTTAAGCTGAGAAAGTCCAGCAAAGGCTTTGGGTGAGATCAACCGGATCTTGTTGTTTTGCAAAAACCTATTTAAAAAAAAAACCACAGAACAGCAAAGAGATTGAAGAAGTATGTTTTCTAAGGGATTCTCAGGGTCTGTGGTCCCTAGGGAAGAGAGGGATGTGCCCACATCTGCAGGACACCAGCCACACGGCTCGCAGGACTGGCTGCTGCCTGCCCAGCATCACGGGCCGGCTGTCCCCGGTAGTGCTTGGGGATGGAGGTCCAGGCTGCAGCCCCTGCTCTGCCAGGGGCTCCTTGTCTCAAGCGACCCTAGAGAGGCTGTTTTCCCTCTCTGCCTCATTTACTCCATGCAAAGGGAAGGAAGCTGAAAGTACAGATGCCTGACAGTCACAAGCGGCTGCTGTGAGCTGTTTCACATGGTTATTGCCATACGAAGCTGCCGTCCCACCCACGAGAGCAAACACCCCTCTCCCCGTCACCCCGTTCCGCTGGGTCCCTCCCTGAACTCTCCGGTGCAGCAGCCTAGAAAGGTGATGGGCTGAGCGACCAAAGGGTCCGAGCTCTCCAGAGCAGGACAGCTCGCTCATGAGGCATTTCACGCCGCCATGCACACGGGGCGGTTATCAGCCAACACGGGCGCTGCTCCGCAACCTGCTCACCCACCCGTTGGGAGCGGCACGGTGCCGGCAGCGTGTCAGGAGCTTGCAATGCCTACAGCAGGTCCCTGCTGACTTCAGTGGGCACCACGGGCCCCAGGAGCTGAAAAAGCTGCTGTCTGGACAAACGTAGCGTCCCGTCAGAGTGCACTGTCCCAGACAAAGCTATCCCAACAAGTGCACACACTTATCCCTCTACACATGGCCTCACCGCTGCCGACCTGCGCATCCACTGCTCTCCCCTTTTATACAAGCCAGCCAGAGAGCAGGATGAAGAAAGGCGATACTCACAGCTTCTTCAGACTCCTGTACCTGCCAAACTCATTGTCCAGCAGAGAAGGGATTTTATTTTTCTTCAGGTCCCTAGCAGGAAAACAGAAGGATGAAAATCAAGCCCAGGGCCAGCAGACTAGGACAGAGGACAGGCCTTTAGCAAAGGAGAACAGTGAAGACTAGACCCTCTTCTTCCTGAGCAATACAAACAAAATGCAAGGCAGCTGCTGTTCATTAACACCACATTGCTAATTGCCCTCTCACTCTGCAGGCCTTATTTGCTGCAGAGGAGTTTTTTCGCACTCTCCTCCCTCCCTAGCCCTTGCTTTTTGTGTGCAAAGGGCACCCCAGGTCTAGACCTTGCCGACAGTCTCCAACCCTGTGCATCTCGGTTGGAGGCTTGGCAGTGAAGGCAGGCTCCCCAGTCCTCACCCCCGGCAGGATCCGGCCGTTCCCTGCTCCCAGCTCAATGTGGCTTGTGGGAGGGTTGCAGTGAGCAGCTGAAGCTCAGCAAAGAGGAGTCTGTTGGCACGGAAAGGCCTCTTTGCTTTTTTGGATCCAGGGAGAACAAGTAAAAGCCAGGGATTTTATTTCCTTCCCTCTAAGCTTGTTCTCCTGCCGGGTGGCAGTGCACGCGCTGCTCGTGCCTCTCCCAGGGGAGAGGGGTGCATGCACCCACTGCTACTCACATCCTGGTCACGTTGGAGGAGACCCAGGGGACAGTGGCGAGGTCCCGCTCGGTGCAGTCTACAGCCCTTCCCCAGCACCGGCACTGCTCTGGGAAGACCTCCAGCCCTGCGGGCAAGCAGAGGGGACACGCTGAAGGGAGGGCACAGGGGGCCCGTGCGGGGCGGGGGAGACCCGCAGGGTGGGGAAGGATGCCCGGCCCCGGGGAAGACGGCTTACAGCAGGCGTCACCCTCGTCTTCCACCGCCACCCGGCTGCTCCTCGCAGCCAGCATGTCACCCAAGATCTGCAGCCAGCCGCTGTCATCCACTGCAGGGCAGAGAGCGGGGATCACCGTCAGAGGCACCGGCTGCCGCGCACAGACATCGGTGTGGAGCAAAACCCCGGCAGCCTCGGGAGAGGGTGCTGGATCGCACGAAGCCTGAGGCCTGGCTCCAGCCCCACAGCTGTACCGGGGCAGAACAGGGGTTCATCCAGCCCCGTGGCATGTCTCCAAGTGCAGTCACAATAAAATTTTCTTTCCTCTATTTCTAGCATCCCACCTAGCCCGCTTTAAGGATATCCTGAGCCAGATGCTGCATCCAAGCCACTCAGTTAACCAGCTCCCAGAGGGTATGAATTTGTCCAGTCTCCAACTCATTTACACTCTTAGACTCAGCATCCCTGAGCAAGGAGCTCCACAACGGCACTGTGTATTGTGCAAAAAAAGGAACTAATTTTGTGTCTTTAAATCTGCTGAACCCACATGTCCTGACTGATAGTGCAGAGCCCCTCGGCTCCTCTGCCTTTCCACCACGGCCCAGAAATAACTGCCCCAGCCTTGTAGCAACGAGGGTTTTCCTGCACCCCAGCCCAGGAGAATCCCTGACAGATGAGCTCCTCCCCGGGGCACACGTGGCCACTGTGCCAGGATGGCGTGCAAATGCAAGAGCTGGGGAAGTGGCTGGATAATGGAGCAAATCCAGGATTCCTCACGCTTCCCGGGGGAAAAGCAAGCTCTGCTCTAATGCACTTGTGGTCCCAGGTCCTGGTGTTCCCAGGTCCGGTGGTTATTCACTCTGAGGGCATCCCTCTTTGTGAGGGGCTTGCTGCCTACCGCAGTTCTCCTCGTCGGCTCCGTTGTCGCAGTCGTCCTCCCCGTTGCAGTGCAGGGCCTGGGGCAGGCAGACGGAGAGGTTGCCGCAGGGAAACTGCCCCAAGGGACACGCGTGCCCGTACCGCTGGGAGTGGACCAGAGGAGGCTCTGCTGAAAGAAGAGGAGATGCTCAAGTGCTGGGGCAGCACCTCCTGCCCCCGGACCCCTCGCAGATGCTGCGCTGTTGCCTTCGGGGTGCTGAGCTCCTGGGGCCACATCCTGCTTTATGCCCAGCTCCCGTGACTTTTGGGGCAGAGCGAGGCTGGAGGGCTGAAGGGTGCCTGCGCTGCTGCTGCTGAGGACCAGCATCACCACGGGGGTGCCCTGCAAGACCGCGCTCCGGCCGGAGCAAGTGTGAGCTGACGGGGTGCTGGAGACCACTGAGGAGGCACAAGTGTGCCCCAGGGGAAAAGAAGGACCCAAACCCTTGCTTTCAGAGGACTTTTAGCTGGCAAAATGCTGCCCTGAAGCCAGGAGACCTGGGCAGAGGCAGTTCTGCTGAGAAGTGCATGGAAATGGAGAGCCCCAACAAACCAGCCACCCCATCCCTCCTCCCCATGCCTCCTTCCCAGGCCCCCTGCCACCCCCGTCCCCAAGGCAGAGCCCTGTCCCCGGGTGCAAAGCTGTCTTGGCAGCTCCGGCTCCCCTTTTGCTGAGCCCTTTCCCTCAGAGCCATCAAAGATAGCCAGCTGCAGGGCCCTGTTCGTTAATATCGTGCAATTATCCATGGCAGAGGCATGCTTCAGATCCAGCTAAACGCTTCCACAGCCCGCTTTGATCAGGGCCCTGGGAAGTGGCAGCCGTCAGGCAGCGGGGGAACACGGCCTGGGGGGGTCCAGCTTGTCGCTCAGGATTTTCTCCAACTGCCAGGCTATTAATTGCTAATGTTCATGCTATAATTAAAAGCACTTTGCCTCACTCACCCCCCCCCCCCCCCACCCTCCCCCCACCATTAACCATCCCATCAGCAAGCATTGCGGCGTGATGCGGGAATGGATAGGATGCAGGGGTGACCGGTGGGGATCCGCAATGCCCCGGTGGGCAGCATCGCGCGGACACGGTCCCCTCCGACCGGCCCGGCAGCCGAACCACGGGTGCCCCGTCCACATTGGTGGGGTTTTCCTGCAGACAGGTCGTGCCTGGACCTGAGGAAGTTTTCCATTAGACTAGAAATATCCCCGCTTTCTGCCAGAGCTGGCTGAGCTAGACATAAACAGCGTGCACTGCCTGAATCCTTGCCTGGACATCTCTGACCGGCCAGGGGTCCTGCAAGCCTTCCCCGGGGTTTACTGACGCATCTGGGGTGTTTGTTCTGGGGAAAGCAAGGACTCCAAATCCACACAAACCTTGATGGATTTAACCAACATGATTCAGTGTTTTAAGATTTGGAACAGAGTCTATTGTGGCTCCATAAAACTTCCCTGAAAACTGGAGCCATCCCAAACACCTCTGGAAGGGATCTCTGTCCCCTTGAAGCCATAAAGCGGGTCCAAGTGACATTTTTAACAGACCCATGCTATTGCTCCTCTTCGTGTCCCACCTTGAATCAGCCGGGACCCCATGCCCCAGCCACGGGGCAGCCTGCGGCACGAAGGGAAACCCCATTTCTGTAAGGTTTTGAAGGCTGAGCTGTTTCTCTGCCCGGGAGGAGGCTGTGCCCCCCGC